CTGCAGCGGCAGCGATGACTGTAGCGAGGGTGATCCAGCTAGTGGGCATCGTGATGGCGGGCGTGGCATCTGCCACTGACTACCCTGCCACGTGGGCTCTTGCAGATCACGGCACGGTCCCAGCCGCTACCGTCTACGCCATGACCGATTCCTCCAATGATGCCCAGCTTCCCGGCACGATGAGTTCCGGCGATGTTAACGGTGATGGCATCAACGACTTCGCCTACGAGTTTCCTGCCGGCACTTTCAACGTGCACTTCGGAGGCATCTCTGCAGACTTGGATCTCGACAGCAATTCTTACACTGGCTCCAATGGCTTCAGCATCGTCACCGGTCAGACCGGCCATATTTGGGGCACCATCGCCGGCGACGTCAATCAGGATGGCTTCAACGACGTGTTGTTCTTCCACGAGGCCGGTCAGAGAGCAAGAGTAGCCGAGTCCCTGTTCAAACCAAACTCTTGTGCGTAAACTGCAGGCGTCCACTTCCGTCAAAATCGTCTTCGGCAAGGCTAGTGGCTGGAGCGCTTCCTACACCGTTGCGAGCATGACGTGGGATGGCACGGACGGCCGTGAGTTGACCTACACAGGCGATAGCGACTTTGCAGATAGTTCCTACGGCGGTAGCCAGCCGCAGATCCTCAGTGGATTTGACATCAACAACGACGGCATTGACGACATCGCCGTCGTTTCGGGGGGCATCAGCAACAGTGGTCGAGTAAGCATTTTCTTCGGCAAAAGCACATGGTCCGCATCGGTGGACGGCTCCACCGACTTTGATGGCACCAGTACCGGCTTCTCCTTCGTGGATGCTGCAAATACCATGTTGGGACGCGGCCTGACTGTGGGAGACTTCAACGGAGATGGTATTGACGATGTCGTGGCCTCAAGCAGAAGCCAACAACCGTTCGGCGGGACTGGTTGCATCTACGTACTGTATGGAGGTGGTACGTACTCGGCCTCCATTGCCGACATTTATGCTCATGTCGATGGCACCACTGGCTTCCGGCTGTGTGGGCCAGCAGACAACACCTATATCGGGGACTACTTCGTGACCTCGACAGACTTCAACGGCGACGGCATCTCCGACCTGCTGTTCGCAGGGCGAGGCAGCCAGGCGGGCATGTACCTTCTCTTCGGCAAGGCATCCTTTGCCGCGAGTCTGACTCTGCCGCTCGCAAGCGGTGAGGGAGTCTCCTTCAC